GCTAATGGCCAGGGGAGTGGTTGGGCAGACTAAGGAAGTCCTTGGAAAAGCTGGGTTGCTCTGACGGATGGATGTCAGGGACAGCCAGGGACGGAGCAAATGACCAAGGGTTTGGCTGGAGACCAAGCAGCTCCATCCCAGGTGCCAGCACTCTGTGGCTCCTGGCAGTGTTCTAGGGTCCATGCAACGCCTGAGGCCTACTACAGGGCAAGGGTGAGGCTCTCCGGTTCTTACACACGTGACTGTAATGCGTCAGAAGCAACCCTGTCACGCCTTGGAGAGAAGCAGCCCCGCCTTTCTCCCTGGCTTAGCTTTCCCAACGCCCAATGAGAAATGAGCTGCGAAGGCGGCTCCCGTGCACTGAAGTACCACAGGCTCCAGGGGAGGGGACAGTGGAGCCCAGATCCTGACTGTCTGGAGCACGCGCCCTAAACCTCAGGCCCGTCCTGGTTCTGGCAAGTTGGTCTCCAAACTGGAATTTCCTTAACATGCTCTTCCTGATGCTTCTATACTCAGACCTTTCTCCCTCCACCACCCCCACCCCCAGCTACGACCTGGGCTCTCTGGGGGCTGGACTCCTCAGTCCTTGGTGAACCATTGAGTGGCTCTGGCCCCAGAAGGAAGGGCTGATGTAGGTGGGAGAGGAGGAGGGGAGGGGAAAGGTGTGAGGATGAAGTGGGACTTCATGTCTGAAGCCAATCAAAACACAGGATGCCCAGTTGAGTTGGACTTTCAGATAAACAGTGAACACTTGTTTAGCATACATATATCTCAAATACTGCATGGGCCACATTGAAGGTAACATTTGGGACATACTTATACTAAAAAAAGCATCCATTGTTTATCTGAAATTCCAATATAACTGGGCACCCTATATTTTACCTGACAACCATACTCCAAGATCCTGCCCAGTCCTCCCTCCTCCACCTAACACCCTGCCACCAGGCAACTTTCCTGAAAGCTGTATCTTCTTTCTATTACTTTCAGCTCAAGGACCTCCCACCATCTCCCACTGCCTACCACACCACCTGGAACAGCCTCATCCAAACGGCCAAGCCCTCCCCAGCACAGACCCCCCCTCACAGATGGTCTCCCCTGAACCCTCCTTTCTCCCCGAAGCCTCCAGCGTTCCCCTTATGCCCTCGTCCATTCTCGCCTCCCTGCCTGGAACTCCCTCCCCTTCCGTTACTGCCATCCACCTGCCTTTCTCAGCACTCCATCCCTAGGTGCCTTGCAGAGTTCACTGCTGTTGAGTAGGTGTGGTTTTCATCTAAGCTCAGACCTGAGGCTTCCTGAGGCAGAGACCACTTTCCTCTCCCTGACTCCTCAACAGTGTGGCTCTGGTGATCTGAGAGGGTGGGCGGAGGAAAGAGAGTTATCTGGATGGAAGGAGGGGAGCAAA